GGTGAAAGGCTTCACCAGGAACAGAGTGGGGAACAGAACAGGCAGATCGGCGAAGCACACTGCTCAGGGGATCAGCGGGCGGGCCAGGAGAGGTCTGCCACGCCATGTGGTCACCTCCGGGGCAGGCGGGAATCGAACTCATGTGGAGGCGGCTCTAGATTCTCAGTGCTGTGCTTTAACCCGCTGCGCCACCAGGGAGGGCCCCATTTCCCTTTTAAGGAACATTTGAGTGTGGCCCCATTTCCCTTTTAAGGAACATTTCTGTTATTCCAGAAATTAAAATATGCTGTCTATATTTTTTATATGTGTTTATATAACAGAATGTTACATTACTCTTTCCCTTCACAGAAGGTGTTAACTCTTGATTTCCATGATGATTTTAAATGTTAAAACAAGAGTTTGTAGCTTTATTTTCTAAACTTGCCTTAAGAAGGAAAATGAACTAAACACCTGCTGCATTCGTAGCTATGCAGGCTGCGCAGATCCATAAACACTTACGTGGTGTTCCCCTTCTGTCTCTCTTCTTTGGATTTAAACAGCCAGCTGACTTAGCTCAGTTGGGTTATCTATACTGAAACCTATTTGGCCTCAAAATGACAAAGCCGTGGTGATGTAAGTCAGGAGCATGTACTTTTTTTGGCTATATATTTCATTCCTAAGTTAGTCAGAAAATGAGTATTATTAGGAACATGGATAACATTGTAAAATCAGTGATAAATAGCCATAGAGGGCCCTCCCTGGTGGCACAGCTGGTTAAAGCACAGCACTAGGAAGCTAAAGCCATGAGTTCCATCTCCGCCCAGGAAGATGACCCACATGGCCCGGCAGACCTCTCCTGACCTACCCGCTGCTCCCCTCAGCAGTGTACTTTGTCAGTCAGCCTGCTCTGTTCCCCATTTTGTCTCTGGTGAATCCTCCCACCGCCCCTGCACCTCTGGCCTACACCCCAGTTCTGTATGAATAAATAAATCTTTAAACAAAAAAAGCCATAGACATAGATGCCAACTGTTTTGTTTGACACTGCTTATTTTGACCAGATTGGAGTTGGGTTGCTGTGAACTCTTGGTTCCTGCTGTAACCTGTATGGCACATGTTTATATGCATTTTTACATTGTTGTATAATGTACCATTTCCCAAAAATGGTTATTTCTGGATTGAAGGGTTAATGCACGTGTACTTTTATTTTTTTTAAGATGTAATTATTTATACATACAAGAACTAGGAGTACAGTCCAGAGAGGATTCACCAGAGACAGTGGGGAACAAAACAGGTATATTAACAGAAATACACTGCGAAGGGGAGCAGCGGGTGAGACAGGAAAGATCTGCTGCACCATGTGGGTCACCTCCCTGACTGGGGGTCAAACTCATGCAGCATTGGCTGACTGGCTGGTGATAGCTTGAGAGCGCTGACATTTTAGCCCTGGTACCACCAGGAAGTCCCGTGCATTTCCTTTCGATTATTACAGATTCTTAGGCAGAAGACTGGTGTGGAGAGATAGTAGCCTGTTATCTTGCCATGTACGTCTACTTTCTGTGCTTTACCTTTTACCTGGACTCTTATCTCTCTCCACAGCAACAATGGTGTGGTTGGTGAATATGGCAGAAGGAGACCCAGAAGCCCAAAGGAAGGTGCCCAAAACCTCCAATTATAATACACAGAGTAAGTGACTTTTACTTCTTATTTTTTCGTGGTTATTGTCATCTTATAGGTTAACAGTGAGTTTATGAAGCATAATTTTAAGCTCTTTGGTCATGGACTCCTTGGGGAGTCTCCTGAAAGTTGTGGTAGCACAAAGCAAACATTTCAAGAGTTTAGATGCTGCAAACCAATGCCACTGCCAGCGATCTTGGGTTCACACTTCCTGCCATTAAATATCCTTAATATCAGTATGGAAAGGGTCAGGTCGAGACTCAGTTATAAAGGAAGAAACAGTAAGTTTGTTCTTCAAACATAAAAGGATGTGAACCTTTTGCCTGGCATAGAGTAACATAAAGATAATGTTTATACTGAGAAGGTAAAATATTCCAGGTGGATAGGACTTTCTGAAGGAGAATAACATGATGGCCTAGTATGAAAGCTCAAAAGACCCATTTTGTGTACTCTGAAAGATCTTAAGAAGAACATTTGTTAGGGGTTGTTATTAGAAGCAGTTAAGGAATAACAACACTAAGAAATTAAAAAGGTCTAACTTTATGAAGAAGTTGAAATAAAGATAGGTAAGAAAGGAAAAAGACCTTGGTTATTAGTTGCTGCTTTATAGGAAAGAGAGAGTTTAGGCTTCATGGAGCCAAGAAAATTGCTGATGTAGCAGTTGGATAACTGTGAGAAGGACACTTTCAATTGGGGATTCACATTTGGGCCTCAGGGACAGCAGGTCCATTCCACAGTGACAAAGGCCACAGAGTAAGGTTGCATTAGGCCAGCAGCAGAGCAAGGGGAGAAGTAGGAAATGTTTAGAAATGATTGCTGCCCATCTAGCTATTGTGTTAATATGTTGAGCTAAAAAAAATGAAAAGACTGGGTTCTGTGAGTATATATGTATATGAGTATGAGTATGTATTTGCTACAAGATTTTATTCTTTGGACAAATGGTGATACAGCACTGAACAAGACCTCTTCCACCCCCGCTTCCATCCTCCCTAATGAAGGAGACAGATGTTCAACAAATAATTCATACAGTGTGATAAGCATTACAAAGGAGAAAAGTTGCTGTGAAAGTTTATAGAATTTCACTTACTTTGGAAAATCAAGGAGTGTTCCCTGAAGAAATGTTTATAGGAGATGGATGGCTGAAGACAGTAAGCACTTTCCAGATGTTGACATAGGCCTTTAAGGGCTCACAGGGAATGCTGTTAGTGTTCTGGGTGGGGCAGTTCTTTATCATGTGAGTCTTCCCATCACACTGCAGGATATTTAGGGTTCCTGGCCCCTCACCCACTAAACATGAAAATTAACTTTAGGGCTAGTGATAGCCAAAACTTACTCCATTATAGTTGTTACCAAACACCTCCCGGAAGAGAGATGCTATCCTCAGTTGTAAAACAACTATTTAGAGGAACCAGACATTATATTAGAATGAAAGTTAGCATTCCACCAGGGATATCTGTACAAGGAACAAATGAATAAAACTGAGAGGTTTGCCTGAGTGTTTGAATTCCCTGTGAGAGAGTTTGAGGTTGAATTAGATATAGGTCATATATAAAAAATGAGTAAAGTGGGGGAAGGGGGCAGTTTTCTAGAAAAAACAAGTTGTACAAAAGGAGTAACTATACTTATATGTCCTTGCTACAGTGCAGTATTTTAGTTGTGACTACTATTTGCATAGTGATAATATAAAAGCTGAACTTTCTGAAGATTTTCATTTATTTATGCATATAAGAACTAGGGTGCAGGTCAGAGGTGTGAGGTGAAAGGATTCACCATAGATAGAGTGGAGAAAAGAAAGGCAGATTGACTGAAATACACAGCAGGCAGGTCAGGAGAGGTCTGCTGCGCCATGTGGGTTAGTCCCCTGGCTGGGGATGGAACTCTTGCTGCTGTAGCTGCGGACAGCTTCATTGTGCTGCAACTTAACCTCTTTAGGCACCAGTGAGGCCCTAAAAGCTGAACTTAACATAAAATTGTGACATAGAGAATATGGGAGGAGTTAAACTTGTGTGTATGAACTAATGCTTCATTTTCTCTGTACAAAGACTGAGTTTCTGAAAACATCAAGAATACCACTTGCTATAATTGTGGAGGTAAATAGGATAAAGTGAAAGAGGATGGGGCAGAGCAGAGACTACTGTTTTTAGTTATAAATTTTCATGCTTAGAATTTTGCTTATATGATATCATAAATTCCAAACTGGGGAAGAGTCACATTTTGTGGTAAGAAGAATACGTTACAAATTTAAAATTATTAGAGTCCCTCACAGAAAAAGTTCATGCAAGTGAGAGGCCTGAGTGTTCAAGCTTTACCTCTGCTATGAACATGTATCACTTCTGTAAAAAACACTGGAGAAAAAGTTTATTTCCCATCCATTTCACTAATGTATGTTCGATGTATGGAAGGTTCTCAGGACACATACTCATCAGTCAGATTGGCAGTCATGACAGAATAACCAAACGATGAAAAAAAAGCCATTTTCCCACTCCTCCCTCCATGGCCTGCCTCTATAACTTAGACGCTAACGCAGTAGTGAGGTACCAGGTAAGGAAGTTTGCTTTTGCATAAATCAATTGGATTAGAAATACAACTCAGTTGCTTTAGTTTTATTTTGTTTGTTTGTTTGTTTTTAAGATTTACCTTTATTTATTTAGGCATACAAGACCTGGGATATAGGTCAGAGTTGGGGGTGGGGTGGTGAGAGGGTTCACCAGACAGTGTGGAGCAGAACTAGAGCAGCAGGCAAGACAGGAGAGGTCTACTGCTCCATGTGACAGGTCAGCTCCCTACTCAGGGATTGCACTTAGCTGCAGTGGCCAGCTTAATAGTGTTGAGACCTCTGTGCCACCAGGAAGACCCCAACTCAGTTGCTTCAAACAAAGAAAAAATGTGTTCTCTTAGAAGACCATAGCATTTGGAGGGTTGATGTTAGCAGTTACCTGTGTTCTTCTCCTCTTCCCACTGCCAACCTTAGATACAGACTTGGTTTTCAGCGCATTGCTCCTCATATCACAAGATGACAACCACAGCTCCAGATAAGACAGCATTCAGGGGAAGTCCTTTCCTCTATTGAGCTCATTACATGTTGGCTAGTAATAGTTCCACAGCTTTGAAACTGTCACTGGAAAGGAGAAGTGGGGTTAACCATGCTGGGTTGGGTTGATCAGGATTTACCCAAGAGGTGGAAATGCAACAGTCTGCTCTCAGCCAATAAAGGGGTAAAAGGGCCATAGTTAAGCCACAGGCCCAGGACTTGTGGCTTAAAAACCAGCTGACCTACTCAAAACGATAGTTGGATACTGTTTCCATGTATACTGTTTCCATGTAATTTTCTTAAAGGTATTAAGAAATTTTTCTAAATATTAGAATTGATTTCTCTTGAAGGCACAGAAAATGAACCACAGGACTCTACACCAGAGAGTGATGATGGTGGCTTCAGCGAAGAGTGGGAGGCCCAGAGGGATAATCGCCTTGGGCCTCATCGCTCTACAGCTGAGTCGAGGACTGCTGTACAGGAACTTTCCAGCAGCATCCTAGCCAGTGAGGACCCAGAGGAAAGTATGTGCATTTCTCTACATTGAAGAGTCATGGATTCCTTTAGTTGTGGCTTTATCAAACTACCAAAGTAAAATGAACCAGGAGACTTACAGTCTAACCCTCAATACAGCTTGTAAAGGGAAATGGCAGTGGATAGGGCTTTTCTCATAGTTAAATTTGCCAATGGACCAAATACTGCCCTCACATTTTATTTAAATTATTCCTTCTATAGTGTCTTTGGCATTTGTTTTGTAAAGTGAGGTATTTTTGAAATTATTCCATAATGGCATTGTATTTGTGTACAAAAATTGCATTTGCATATTTCAGTTTGTACATTTTGTATTTAAAATATAAACTTTTTTTTTATGTTTAAAATATCAAGAAGACTTAGGTTATCTTTCACTGACTTCTCACTTAGTGCAGGGTGAAGTCAGACAGTGACATTTTATATTTGTTATCTTTCTTTTTTAGGGGGAGTAAAACTTGGGTTAGGAGACTTCATTTTCTACAGTGTCCTGGTGGGTAAAGCCTCCGCCACAGCCAGCGGAGACTGGAACACGACCATAGCCTGTTTTGTAGCCATATTAATTGTAAGTATACATTATCAAAGATGGGTCAGACTCTGCACCCCAAACTGATGACACCAGCCCTGTACTAAGGTTCTCCTCTAGCCCTAGCAGGCGTGGGGGTTCCAGTCACCTGAGGAGCTTTGTGAAATACAAATAACTAAGATACTCATCTTATTTGTTTTCATTCTGTTATTTTTTTTTTTTTAGTTCCCAGGAAATTCTGGTAAAGACCTCTGATTAGGAGGTTCAAGCCAGCAGCCTAGATAAGTAGAAAAACAACTGTGCTAGATCAGTCTCGCTGGGGGAAGCAGATCCTCATTAACCCCTGAGGGTTCAGGGCAGGTCTGTAAATGCCCTGCACCTGTCCCTTCAGGCAGCACACACCCAGCTCCCACTCCCACTTGATCTTGCTTATAGGGCCATATGAACCCTGAGAATTCAAAGGTTTGATTTAAGTAATTCAAAAGACAGTTCTTACTGCCTTTTTTTCTAGTAAAGATATGATATCTTTCCTACATAATATGTGAATGAAGGGGGCCCTCCCTGGTGGTGCAGCAGGTTAAAGCACAGCACTATGAAGCTGTCCATAGCCACTGTAGTATGAGTTTGATCCCAGCCAGGGAGGTGACCCGCATGGCATGGCAGACCTCTCCTGACCCGCCTGCTGCTCCCCTCAGCAGTATATTTCAGTGAGGCTGCCTATTCTGCTCCCCACTCTGTCTCTGGTGAATCCCCTCACCTACTGCATCTCTGGTCTGTACCCCAATTCTTGTATGCATAAATAAATAGATAAATTTTTTTTTTTAACTATATGAATAAAGGTAGATGAGACTAGGTGAGAGTTTTCACTTAGGTATTCATTTTGTGTTTGCATTCGTGATAATGCTCCTAACTAGTTAGATGTTCATGTTTTATTTTGCTTTTGAAGCTAATCTTCTGGATATGTTCTTTTTAAAATTTATTTATTGGGGCCTCCCTGGCCTATACCCACGGTTCATGTATTCTTTTTTTTTTTTCCCCAATTTATTTATGCATACAGAACTGGGGTACAGGCCAGAGGTTCAGGGGCGGTGAGAGGCTTCACCAGAGACAGAGTGGGGAACAGAATAGGCAGATTGACAAAGTACACTGCTGAGGGGAGCAGCAGGTGGGTCAGGAGAGGTCTGCGGTGCCATGTGGTCTCCTCCGGGGCAAGCGGGGATCGAACTCATGCGGAAGTGGCGTTAGCTTCTTAGTGCTGTGCTTTAACCCGCTGCGCCACCAGGGAGGGCCCTGGTTCATGTATTCTTTTGAATACAGAGGTGTGGGGGAGAGAGAATTCACCAGAGATGGAGTGGGGGAGCAGAATATGTGAATAGAATGAAATACACTGCCTAGGGGAGCAGTGAGCGGGGTCAGGAGACGTCTGCCATGCCATGTGGGTCACCTCCCTAGCCAGGGATTGAACTCATGCTGCACTGGCTGCAGATAGCTAATAGTGCTTCATAATCCTTGCACCACGAGAGAGGCCAGGATGTGTTCCTTTTTTTCCCCCCCCCAAGAAGAAAAGTATTTATTCAGGATAAACCAAAAAATGTGCTTGATCTCCAGACTTCAAGTCAGTGCCTGGGGTGACAGGGACTATATTACTTGGCTGCTTTGTGTTTACAAGCAAACAATCTCTTCATAAATCCTTCTTGGTTTATGGCTGAGCTACTCTTTGCCCCCACAAAGCATAAAGAATCTTCACACCTGGGATTTCAGTCAATCAAATCCTAGTAGCCAGCTAAATATTTCAGATAGAAATTTTGGCATTACTTAATTTTTTTCAGAAGTAAGTTTACTTTTTTCTAATTTCTATTTCTTACCTAGAATTAGAGTGTGAAGTGTCTACAATATATGCATAATCAATTCTTAGGTTGCAAAGTAAAATACTGCTTGCTTTTTATCAGGAAACTACTTTTGCTTAATACTCTTCCTCCAGATTTAATGAAAACATATGTTCTAAAATTTAACCTCACAGGGTTAAATTTTGTGAACTGCATTAAAACCAAGACTTGAGATTGAGTTGTTTTGCATGAAATATTTTTGTAATTATGTATGCGTTTGTGTCTTTTCCCCTCCTCCCCACAGGGTTTGTGCCTTACATTATTACTCCTCGCCATTTTCAAGAAAGCATTGCCAGCTCTTCCAATCTCTATCACCTTTGGGCTTATTTTCTACTTTGCCACAGATTATCTTGTACAACCCTTTATGGACCAACTAGCATTCCATCAGTTTTATATCTAGCATATTTGCAATTAGAATCCCGTGGATTTTTCTCCTTTGACTATAATAAAATATGGGAAGGACAAAGGTGATTTTCCTGTGTCCACATCTAACAAAGTCAAGATTCCAGGCTGGACTTTTTGTAACATCCTTCCAAGTCTTCCTGACCACCTGCACTACTGGCACTGGAAGGAGGTATCTACAGAAAACGGTTTTGAACGTAACATCACTATGATGGACAGAGTCCCTCGCTGCAAAAACTACTAGGTTTGAGGGACAAGGACGAGGCCAGGCGATGGGTCAAGAAGTCGCTGTGCAGCCACTGGCAGTTTGAGCCTCTGTTACAAGAGGATTTTACCAACTGCGGACTCTCAGGACTGCCATACCACGAGGTTAGATGGCGTGTTTTCAGTCACACAGGACTCTTCACCGTGAACTACATGTTGAAAATCAACCTAATAAATCTGTATTGAATTCTGAACCTTTTCCAGAGGTATAAAGAGAGCAGGCCCTGGAAGGCAAAAGGGAAAGATAGGGAGGGGCTCAAACTTTCACTTCAGGCTTTTTTGCTGCGGACTTTTTTGTTTTTGTCTTTGTTTTTTACCTTCAGTCAAGTCAAGTGAATAGGTTGATTTTGGGGACCTTTTGTCCCCAAGCACTGAAACTTATTGCCATCTGTGGTTGCCATTTCTTCCCAAGGCCAGTCTGAACTTCTTTGAAGTCTCTTTATCTTAAAAGTCTTAACCTCAGGTTCCAAAATCAGTCATTTCTGGAAATAGTGGCACGACTACACAATGATTCTTTATCATTCTTGGGAAATTTCTGGGTCCCACCAACCTTTAGACACACCCGTAGGCCCCGGCCCCCAGTGCCGCCTCTGCTCCCTTTGTCCTGCCCACCCCCACCTAAGCAGTTCTTTCAGTTCTTTTCTACAGCAAGGAAGACAGCTCTGTGTGGTAACAGATGATTCAGTTATCCTAGGATTTTACTCTTTGTGGTACAAAGAATGTTATAAATCATTCAGCCTCGCTGTCACAATTTCCTCAATAGCAAATACAATGTGTGCCCAAGGATAGAAATTAAAGAAGAGCGCAGTGACTGCTAAAGCACTTCCTGTCCTTGTTTTTTTTACTCTGTCATAACCCATTGTCTCTGCTTTGGGTCAGAATTTGAACCAGTAGCCATCCGCTGGTAGATTGTACAGGTATGAATCAGTCTGTCAACTGCATTGCAAGAGTTTGGAGAAAGCCATTATTTCCCTTGGTGGGCTGTGGGAGGGTCAGGTCAGGAGGCGAAGAGCTGCCGAGAGAGGAAAGAAGGGGCCGCTTGGAACAAAACAAGCTCATGTCCCGTGGGCAGAGATTCAGTGGGGCAGGTCCAGCTCCTCGAGCCTCCCAGCGGGTGTTCTGTGGTTTCCCTGTGTACGCCTTCGTCTTGGGGTACCTGTGTGTGGATTGGGCGCTGGTGCTTGGCCCTGCATCCGGTGCTTGGCAGCGCACAGAAGCTGCGCCTCCAGCCTGTGAGCATGGGCGCCGCTAAGGAAGCCTTGTAGGCACCCCCCTCTTACAGGGGGACCCCAAAGCTCTGGAGAGCAGACTGAGCCCTTGTGGGACATTGGTTTCTTTCTCCCTGTCGCTGAAGGAAAGTCAGCCTTTCCTCTCTTTCATGTTGCTTCTCTCAGCCTGTCATGTGATCTTGCTTGGGGTTCACCCAGGAGTCTAGACTATTTGCTTTCTGATTGAAAGTTTCTTAAAAGAAGTAACTTTAGCTGTAGTCTGCTAGTACTAACCTGAATCACACTAGTACTAGGCTGTTGAAAACTTCAGGAAAACTAAGCTATGCAAAGAAAGAGTAGGTCTTAGAACGGTAGGTTCTCCAATCCCCCCCTTTTTTTAAAGTTAAGCCCTTTTCTCCCCCCGCCAAGATCCTTTCTTTTTTGCTCCCTCCATGATATGAAAGTGGATTTTCTAAAAAGACATGATTCAACAGCTATCTCAAAGCCATCTGAACACCATTTTGTGACTGGGAGCCGTCTTGAGGCAGCCCTGACCCAGAGCCAATCATTTGTGCAAGTGTTTCACGAGGGTGTCATCTTGGAGGAGGATGTGTGGTGCGAGAGGGCGTCTCAGCGCATCCTGTGAGTGGCTGGCCTGTGTCGAAGGCTCGAGACAGGTCTGTCACAGAGTGTGAGCTGGAACCTATAAGCATAGGGGGGCGCAGCTCGCGTCTCTGAATCACCCATCTCAGACTTAGAATTTTTCCTCCAAACATTCTTTTTTGAATCAATTCTGTTGTCTCTGAAATGTCAAGAAGCTAGTCTTCCACCGTGAGATAGACTGTCACCAAAGATGTTTGCATTTCTGCTGAGCGGGTGCTGCCTGGCACAGGAGTAAGGCGCAGGGCAGAACCAAAGCCCACCTGTTTAACGTGGAGAAGGGTGATAGCAGGCAGGAAGGGGGCCACAGTGTCTGGTCCTGCAGCCTGCAGAACAGAGATACTACAGACGAGCCCGGGGACGTGACAGGCTTTTTCAGAGAGGAGGCCCCCTTTCCTGTCCAGTTCTCACTAGCGATGACCATGTGCACCCTCGTGCACAGCTCTCACTACCAGTGATTAAATGTCTTCACCAGAGTAAGAAAGCTTTCTACGCAACTTGGAAGAAAGCAGTTGTAAAATAAGCATTTTGTTGGTTTCACTACGGAAACAACTAAAAAAATGGTGTTTTTCACACTTACGCTCCTGGGTCTTCATATTTTAAAGTATCCCTCTGGTTTCAAAAAGTCATTAACAGCTGCCCAATAAGTAATATATTTAGTACCTGTTTTCAAACAACTTTGTAAATGTAGCCTTGGTGATTTCACAGCATGAGAACTTACTGTCTTCCAGGGTCAAAGGTCACGGGGAAGCCTTGTGCATCCAGCCTCCCAGTGCCCAACTGTTTTTTTTTTTTTTTTTGAAGATTTATTTTTATTTATGCATACAAGAACTGGGATGTAGGTCAGAGATTTAGAAGGTGAAAGGATTCACCAGAGGCAGAATGGGGAGAGGAACAGGTAGATGTACTGAACTACACTGCTGAGGGGAGACGGGAGGTCTGCCACACCATGTGGGTCACCTCCCTGGCCAGGGTGAAGCTCAGGCCGCAGTGGCTGATGATAGGTTGATAGCACTGTGTCTTTAACCCTTGTGCCACCAGGAGGGCACCTCCAGCGCCAGGCTTTGCAAATTCAGGCCTTCATGATCTAACCCTGAATGACCATGAGCTCAGAAATCACTATGAAAAGACAAAGTATTTTCGTAATTAATGTCTTCCATGTTTCCAGTATGGTGCTCAAGTCTAAAGCTACAAAGGTGAATAAGATCTAGCCCCAGACTGCAGCTAGTGTTTCTTGTTTCTGGAATCTACCATCTTTAACTTTCTCTGCTATCTAGGGTACCTTGCAATTGGCCCTTTTCAGGATTACCACTTTTGAGGGCTTATAAAATTGTTACTATACAAGTAACCAGATTCCTCCAGGAACCAACCCTGTAATTAAAGTACTCCTTTCTACATTTACTTTGGGATCTTCTACAAAGAACAGTCTGACCTGCCATTCTTTTCAGCTCTGAGGGGATCCTGAATGCCAGGTTTGGGCAGGTACCTGGAAATTGGACATGTGGTTTTGCCTGGGATAAAACAATATATCATGACTCTGAGGCCAGAGTGATCTTTGTGATCTCTGTTTAAATCTCCTAAACACAGGAGATTAAAAACAGTGATTTCAAGTCTTCAGAACCCTCATTGAAACTGCCAAATCAAGTGTACCAAGACTGTCAGACCTGCTTCCCAAATACTTGGATGACATCATCTGAATAGTCCTTTCCTCTGGCAGGAAACATTTGTGTATTAAAAGCAGCCCGGTGCTGAAATGAACCCCTTTCTGCAAAGTCGAAAGCTGTTTTCCGGGCCTCTGGCAGTGCACCATTGCCCTGAAGAAGTAGTTGGGTCTATCCTGGAGTATGGAATGTGGTGGTAGCCTGGTGTGTGTAACAGAAGGAATTTCCCAGGATGCAATTTTTCTTTTAAAATAATTGTTGCAACAGGGCAGCTTTGAAATCAACTGAGTAGAGTAGGATTTTTTTTGTTTACTGTTTATTGGAGGTGCTGGAGCTGATTTCAGCAGATCATTTATTCTCATGTATCCATTGTCTGGCTTTTGCTTCTGCAGACACGGCTTTGTACATGATTCAGACAGACTGTGAATATATCTTTTTTAAATATCTTTCACATTCTTGGTAAGATATAATTTTGATAGATGATTGCAGATTTTCTTGTAATTGTCCAATTAATAAAGACTGCATGAATCCACCTGGACTAGTTTTCTTACAGGGAAGTCTTGACAATGTGTGACATGGGTTGGCAATTACCAGGAAGCAATTTTAGAAACACAGGTGCGTTTTTTCAGGCCACACCTCTGAGAGGTGCTATGTTCCATTCTTAACACTTAGTTTCTGAAAAATATTTCTAGAGAATATTTAACTCAAAGATCTAAAACACCTTACAAGACTTTGTGGTTATAATGCAGTGAATATGACTTCCACAAGAGGGCCAACTGAAAATTACATGGGTCGTGAGACAAGCAGCTTTACTTTTTTTTTTTTAATAACT